GCAGAGGCTAAACCAATGCCTTCAGAACCACCCACAATGAGAGCGATCGTCTCGTCGAACTTTACGATGTTTTTTTCTTTGTGATAGTATTAGTGTGTGTGTTTATTTACGATCGTTTCTTGATTATTTGAGTGCATGTATAAGAAGAGCGCGTGCAGATTTATATGGAGAAAAAAGCTTGCCGTGTTACTAAATTTATTTTTATTATGCTCGGCGCATAATGACAGTGTTCTTTTTTGTTCTATTCGTACGTTTTCGTACGAGAAATCAATACTCCAGTTGCATAACGAGCGTATACCCCGTGAGAAAATATCGATAAAAACGTATTTTTATGCGCTAAAATGAGCCACGATCTACTTAGATAGCATTGAATTTGGTTTTGGCATTTAAATGGATCTGTAAAACCTATTTTCGCTTGGAAAAAATGATTTCAGTTGTGAAAAATCCATATAGAAAGACAGAATTTTCTCCTATAATACATCGCGTAGCCGACCTCTCATATATCTATATCACCACTTGAATTAGATCCGTAATTCTTAAGCCCAAAGAAAAACTGAAAAACATTTGCAAAAATAAATTCGATTATGCTTTTGCCACTGACTGTAAATGGAGCTAAGCACTATATTGCTAATGGCATTGATCAAATTTCAAGTAATGCTGCACACCTGCTCGATTGTATGAGAATAAATAGGAGCGAACGAGTCACATGCGTGTTTAAAGTGGCCCATAATGTCGTTCCATATTAATCTTTTCGTTTTGTTTATTGCCTCTGTTTTGATAGTCGTGCTGGGCCAATACAGCAGCGACGATTGTATGATCGATGTTGAGCCTACCAAAGACTGCTTCCAGTACATTCCGGCAAGCTGTATTAATGGAACATTCATCGTGGATCGTCTATATTATGGTAGTAATTGCTCAAATGTATCTTTATTTTGGGGTGGACCAATGTACAACATGACAGTTTTGTTCAAAAGTCACTTGCTAAATCCTTATGAGTTGTGTATGTCGCCGGTTGGATGCGCAAACGCATTTCGCACGACCGACAACGGACGTGAGGTCCCCGTCGAATGGAATCCATCAAGTGGGAAGCCTCTCTGCTTTGCAGCACCACACGGCGGAAGACCGACAATGAAATTTCGTTTCGATGCTGGGGATCAGTATTTATGCTACGGAACTTACATTAAATTTTTCTATAAACTGTAGCTTGGTGCTATTCCAATATCATTTGAATTCAATTTTTAAAGCTGATTGTGAACCTGTGTATGGCACAATAAAATTTCAATGGTAAAAAAAAAAGATTTTAAAGCTGATGTTATTTAAGATTGGCTGCTGTTTGTTTAATAACGAGGAACACTATCCAGGTGCCCAACTCCGATTCAGTTCTTTCATATCTCATTCGATAGAATATAGTGAGGTGGTCAAAAGCTAAAAATATTATCGGCCACCAACTCTTCCTCGAGGCGTTATCGTCATTTTACTAGAATTTTAGCCTATGGCATGGTATCTACCAAAAATTCTAATGACGATATGTCGACCTGAAATATTGTCCATAGGTAGGTCTACTTGTAACTAGAATGTTCTGAAAAGTTCAGGTCAAAAGAATGTTCCCTTCATGAGATATTGAGTTTTCAAAATCACTCATATTCTACGAAAAGATTGGAGGATGTCGTGTTTTTTTGAAAATTCAATATCTCATGAAGGGAACATTCTTTTGACCTGAACTTTTCAAGACATTCTAGTTACAAGTAGACCTATCTGTGGACAAGATTTCAGGTCGACATATTGTCATTAGAAGTTTTGGTAGATACCATGCCAGTGGCTAAAATTCCAGTAAAATGCCTATAACTCTGAACAGAAGGCATAACCATTCTTATTCTTTTAGGGTTTTTCATACCTCACTGGGTGTGGGTGTGGGTGTGGGTGGGTGTGGGGTGTGGGTGTGGGGTGTGGGTGTGGGTGTGGGTTTTATTCTCTTTGACACCCACACCTACACCCATACCCACACCCACACCCACACCCTTTCGGATCCTAGAATCCAAAAGGATCCACTTTTTTCCCTTGTAGGATCCAAAAGGATCTATAGAATCCAAATGGATCCATAGGATCTATGGGATACAGGATCCGCTTTTTCCCCCTTGAGTTACATCTCTGGAGTGATCAGTTAAAATTCATTCATACATATAAGTTTAACATTGAATTCCATCAAATACTTCACTTAAATTTGGCAGAAATGGATAGCTCTATGATGTTACAATGGTGATCTGATTACTGAGTTTATCTGTGACAATTCATTAATTATTTTTATCACGATCATTTCCTTAAAATTTTCTGAGATTCTGACATTCATGCATGAAAATGAAACAAAGTGAACTTTAATCAAATTCAGCATTACTTCAAAGTTAACACAAACCTCACTTTTCATTCCTGATGTTTTATATCTTGCGAATCCATGCACCGGGATTCACAAACTTTTATTATAAATAGTACACTCTAAGCTGGAAATAAATTCTAATTTATGAAAAATTTCATATTGAGAATGTGCACATCTTTTCGAGCGTGTCTCATTCCTGCACAAATTATCAAGTTCAATAAAAATCGATTATTTCACAGAGTAGAAGTTTGTTTTCTATGCTACATTATTAGTTTTATATTAAAAAAAGTGTGAATATAAGCAGGTTTTTCACAGGGGAAAGAAAATCATTTGCACTCTGTTCGTTATATACACTTATTGTGCTGCTACATGTATCGATTCGTCGATTATGTTAAGGGTATGGGTGTGGGTGTGTGTGGGTGTGAGTGTGGGTGTAGGTGTGGGTGTGGGTGTGGGTGTGGGTGGGTGTAGGTGTGGATGTGGATGTGGGTGTGGGTGTGGATGTGGATGTGGGTGTTTGAAGAGACTATCCACATCCACACTCATACTCACACCCACACCCACCCACCCACACCCACACTCACACCCACCCACCCACACCCACACCCTAATCTACATCCAGCCTGGAAATCCACACACAGCACCAACACACTCACTACAACCTTCACTCATAACCGTAGCCACACCGACACCCACATCAAAATTGTTAATAATAAAAAGAAAAGAGTTCGCAAAACAGAGAAAAGGAAGAAAAGATATGTGACTCACTTTTCATAGGCAATATGTTTTTTTTTCATTCGTTTATCGACCAAGTAAGCAATAAAATTTTTCAATTCTTTTCTTTACACGAAAAACACGTGTATTACGAAATTCTTAAAAAAGAAGTTGACAAACACCATACTTTTCAATCAACTAACAGTAAGTAATAACAATTTTTCGTTTCATAAAGGAATAAGCATTGATTCAATTTGTAAAAATATTTCTGAGAAAATAAAAATTAGAATCAATTGCAATAGATCTAAGAGATTAAGTAGTCTTTGTTTACTTATATATTTTTAGGATTCATCTTTCATAAATGATATGATTTTTTATTTGGCATCTTTGTTTTGAAGCAAAATTTTTGATGACTGTAATCGCTGTCTGGTTGAATAATGTGTTTTTTATCCTGAAAAAGCAAAAAACTTTTTTCGCTTTTCCTTTGTTGATGCTTTTCTGATCGTGCAACAGACAATTTTCTGTGAGTTTTGATTCTATAAGTTTAAATATTTTTCGTTTGGAAGAAGATGTCAACATGTAGGGCATGACAAATTCTCTTTTTTGAATTCAACATGGTTACTATTGTATAAAAGACTACCTTGATTAATAGAGTATCATTTTTGAGACTGCTTCGAGACATTGAACTTTTCATCTATTTTTCTCGTTTAAAAAGTAACAATTTAAAAAATTTCTCTACTGTCCTTGAGGCTTTTGTTTAAATTTACTTTCGAATGTCTGAGACACCGTTGTTTCTTAATATTTGTTTGTTTAACTTCGATAGGATTCGTAGTGCGAAACAAAATTTATCTAAATGGTTTCTATCGACCTTATGGATTGATTACATAACTATGACTTTTAAATTATGAAATTGGTTTTAATTAATAGCAGATTTAACTGTCTGTTTTTCATTACCATCAGCTCTTGTGTAAATTTCAATCATAAAATTAGATAGCTATGAAAATATTAGTATTGTTTTAATGAAGAGACATATCAACATTCAACTATTATTAAATTCTTTTACATTTCTAATTTAGTTTCGTCATTGTGTATCAAAATTGACGGTGTTTTTTTTTACATTGAAAGTTAAAGGATTTTCTTATAATTATTTGAATTAGATTCAAAGAGTGTCTTTCGAAAACGTAATAATAAACAAAATTTGATTTGAACCATAATATTCTAGAATGATGTTGGATTCTTACTCTATCGAGCGAAAAGCAATTGATATTTCTGGTCGATTAGGTTCATTTTATGATGCATCATATGATAAATTGACTGAAAAATACATCTTGAATCCATCTAAGGTGGAAAAAGTCGAGGAATCTTGTTCACATAAAATACTTTCAGGTGATCAGTCAATTGATTTATTAGATTATCTTGAAGATTTTGGTTTTAATGATGATCTTCGACAAAGTATTCTTCTTGGTATGGTCAATCTATCAGGAGTTAGTTCTTTACTTAATTATAATCGACCTATTGATAATAATACTCGTTTTCTATATTATTCATATAAAAGCAAAATAGAAGAACTGTTTGTTACAGCCGGAAAAACAGATCAATTTAATCGACCTTCTATTTCACCTCATGCGACTCATATGATCACTAAAATATTATGGGGAATAGAAATTTTATGTATTATACAACTTCCGAATAATCAATCTGTAAAAACTATTGAAAATTCACTTTGGAGTATTTTCAATCGATTGCAAAGTAGTGACAGTACTTTTGTTCTAAGTGATACTGAAAAACATCAACTGTCTGCACTAGTTAATATTGAAATGTATGGATCACAAACATGCATCAAAAATTCGAATACAACATTATTAACCATTCTGAATAAACTACAAGAATGGCAGAAAGATGAATATTTTCATCATCCACTTCTATATACAATGCATTCATTAAGATGGCTTTATGATAATGGTCAATATCCAGGAACATACCATCTAACTGATCAGACTCAATCTAATATGGCAAGAGTTAAAAGTTTCATCTTTTCGATAGATAAGTCAATAAAATATATCAATCGATTGTTAGAAAAAATTCCAAAAAATATTTCATATCCTGAATTAAATCAACAATGGAAACATTATAAAGAAGTCTTTACTATTTTAACGGATAAATATGATAAGTATCAAAAATATCTTCAACAATCACTCTGTAAAATTCGTCGAACATCTTGTGAATCAGTAGAAATCAACAATACAGTGTCAGACTCATGTTATTCATCGTTAAAAACGGATTTTAAGACTTTATGTGAACAGATCCATGAATATTTTCCCAAAACAATATTAATTGAACAATTTATTAATAATCAAATTCAGTATGTCAAAATTTCAGATATTATTTCTCATAGAGATGCAAATATGACAATCGAAGATATCAATGAAATATTGAAAAGTTTTTTTGTAAAAACAGATAGTTCTGTAACACTTTGGTATTCAAGTGATCAACTGAAACAAATAAAACCCGATAAATGGGAAGAATTCTATCAAAGTTTGATCTTAGAAAAGAGTCAAGCAACACAAGAAACGTCTTTCTTTTATATTGACTTTAATCAATGGATAGACAAATTAGAAGACTTGTATATTGTACGGCTACCTATTGAGAGAACAACAACAAAATCTCAACGTGATCATGCCGAAAGTAAGAAATCTGGATGAATAAATTTATCATCCGTTTTTATTTACACTAAAGAAATTGCTTCTTATTCCTGTCCACTAAATTTTTTATTTCGAGCCGTTTTTTTGTTGTCAATGTTCTGAGGATATGAGATGACTATACCAGAACTCCAACCCTTTCATCTAAGCCACAAAATAAATACTTTTGAAAAAAGAATATGACTTACATCGTATCTATGATTCTATGAATACTAGATAAATCTTTATCGCATATACAAGTAAAGATACCCTAGAAGATAAATATAAAATTATCTTAA